TCAAAGAAGCAATTCATAGATATTCACAGATACTGTGACAACACATTTTCACTTGAGGACTGAATTTAAATGTTTGTTTCCCAGTAAGAACAATGTTTTAAATAATCAACAATGTACACGTTTATTTGATGATGTTAATTTCATCTGATGAAACTGAAATCTGGGATTTTGTAGGTAGATCTGTTATTATTTCTTTCCTTTTGGTTTAAAATGTCACTGAATAACTTTCTCCTTTGGTTTTAGTTACAGTGCTATCGTAATCCAAACTTTAAGAGAGGCTGTCCCCAACTTTTAGTCAGAATGAAAAGAAGAATCAGGGTTAAAAATGCTTCTCCTGTATCTGCTCCATTAGTTCAAGATTTCAACAAGAAGGACTTTAGAGCAGAGGGTAATGTGGATAATAGTATTGCTGGTTTAGTTGCCGAAACTAGTGGAGAAAGTTTACTTTCAAACTCTACAAATTTAAACGTGCCTCTAACAAGGAAGCCTACCAGCCGGAGAGTTGCTAATACAACCGACTCTATCAACTCAATCGCAAGTAATTTTTCTCCTCCATCAACTATAGTTAGATCATCAGAACGCACTATAACAGATCAACATGCTAGTTTAAATCAGTTGACCACTTTTCACATGTCCTCTGAAAGCAGCTACACTCAAGCAAATGGCCACATTGTGAATGATGTTACAAGTACAACTTCTGCTTCTCCGTTCCACATCATATCTCCCTTACAGAATAGTTATTTTCAACTGATGGTGGAACCTTCCACTTTTCCAACCAGATGTCCTGATGTGTCAGCCAATGGGGCTCCTTTTTCTAATCTGCTACCAGCATGCAACCCATGAATCCCAAGGCCTATGACAGCTGATACATCTAATGCCTGTCTTTCAAGGTCAGCTCATCAACCATCTCTGTCACATGAAAATCATCTTACCTACAACTGACTTCCACCAAAGGAGTACCAAAATAGGGAACAGACACTAAAATTTTTGTGGACAAATACCAAAAAAAAAAAAAAAATACCTGCAATTCTGTTATTTGAACAATAAAATAAAAATGTGTTCACCTTTATGGTTTCTTTTTCCTTTCTCTTTTTTTTTAAAGTTAACAGTATCATGGTGCTTTATTTCAAAGTCAGGCTATACTACAATTATTTTATTAATATATAAAGTTTTTGACCATTCGAGAGGAAAGTTGACATGACCATGTGTGACTAAATTATATCTAATTTATTATTTTAAAAATAAGAAATAACAGGAGGTAGAAAAAGGACAAGGAAAGAAGAGAGAGTAGAAAAAGGAAGAGGAGGAGGACAAATAGGAAGAGGTACTAGCAAGGGCTCTTTTTGCTGTCATCAAAGCGTTCCAGGTAGTTTGTGCCTTCAATTACCACCCTCACAAGTCCACCTTTCATGTTTTCTGATGAACACTTTTATCATGTTGTTTTCTTCATCCAAAAACAGACTTCATTCTTCACACTAGCATTTAATACCTTGTAGATTATGAGCCCAGACCCTCTGCATGTCTGAGCAGTTCCCTGCAAAATCTGGCATATATTTACCTTTGCAACTGCATGTCTTCCTGCTCCTCCACTATTCCCTGGAGCTACATTCAGACAAACTACTTTCATCCACACCTATTCACGACTCATAAATTTTCCACCATTTCTTTTCTGAGGATAAAAGGCCCTCTCCCTTTTTGCCTACTTGGACTACTATTTTACCCATTTCAGTACAGACATCATCCCTTCCAGGAGGTGTTTATTTTCTACCCCATCAGTTTCCTTGTCTGTCTTGGACACCCAGCATTGTCCTTCCTAGCACAATGACTTTTACAAATATACCTTTCATTCAAATTTACTGAATATTGACTTAAACCCATGAAAACCTACTTTCATTACCAAAACAACCAACATCCAATAGTATTAAAAATATTACTTTTTTGGTCTTCACTCTTAGCCACAAACTTTCTTTAAAGGGTTGGTCACAGTAATGTTCTTAAGAGATGCAATGATATTGACTTGTCGAAACCAGTGTCACTGGTAATCACTTCAATACCCACTACCTCGGTCTCTTTTAAGTTTCCAGTCTTTTGACCATTAAACAAATTTGTGTACTTTGAGCAATGCCTTCCTAAAGGCCTTTCTCCTTTTATCTCATTGATATCTACTGATGAATCCCCTGCCTTGATCAAATGAATCAAAAAATGAATCAAAATGAATCAAAAAAAATTTTCATATTCTGCTTTGACTGGCAGGTCCTTTCCTGACAGAACTTGCTGTATACTTACTACTCTTTCCCTATTATTGTACTGAAATGGATTACAGTGGGTTCCCACTGCACCTTTAGAAGCAGCCTTCACAGCAGGTATTGTTATTCTACACCTTCTAGACTTATAGGCTAAATCCCTGACAAAACTCAATCACTCAGTTTTATGGGACAGCTGGGGTTTGGATAAAGTACAAATTTGGACATCCGGATATCTCAGGCTAGCAACCTATTGCTGGAATCCTATCAAATATTTTCAAATTGTGCCTAAGTAGAAAAACTTTGGAACCATTGATCTGTACAGGAAATCCTGATTCCTTCTCCTTGGCATATCATGCATGACACAATATGACAGTTATTCTTCCTATGTCCACATGCAATTCATGTACCTCTCTTTACTACTCAGAACTATATTTAACATGGTTAAATGTTGTACATAAATGAGAGAATGTTTCAAAGCAAAGAAAAGTTTGAGGACTAAAATAATGAAAAGTGAAAAGATTAAGTCGTGTGAATGGTAAACACCAGGGCAAGAAAAAAAATGATCAACATAATGACACACATTAAAATAGGGAATGAGATTATTGTAAGATTAAGACCAGAATAAGGTAACTGTCAGAGAGAGAGAGAGAGAGCATGAAGAATGAATGAGCAAATGGAAAAGGAAAACAGGTCAGCATGACTTGAATATCCATCCACTGCCTACCCAACTTCTTTATGCTCTGAAAGGTAACATAAGATTTTAGTATGAAAAGTCACACAGCAATCTAACTGAGAATATCCTAGCATCCTTTGATATTCAGAATAAGGACACTGTGCCTTCTTATGCATTCTTCCTCCTACTCAGGATCACACTAACTAAAAAATGTTTCAACAGCAAAAATAATTTCCCATGTTCAGCCCCAAAACAATACCACAAATGTTCTGCAAGTAGATAATCGGATGTGCTTTATCCCATTCTGCAAACAAGTAAAATTAAAACCCAGGAGTGATAAATAGAAAACAAACATAAGACGTGAAAGGTGGAGTAGGATAGCACAAATAAGATCTAGCTCTATAGAGCACTCTGGTATGACTATCAAAAACAATTAACTACAATCTTTTGTATACTTTCAACTAGTTAGAAGAAAGAATTTTAAATGTTCCCCCAATAAATAAAGAATATTTGAGGCGATGAATATGTTCATTGATCTGATTTGATCATTACACTTTCTATATAAGATATATTCAAATATCACACATTGCCCACAAATAAGTGCAATTATTATGTATCAATTAAAATTTTTAAAGATTAATATATACACACACTATATATTTGTACACATACACACTTATAAAAGATAAAATAATGTGTCTCTGGAAGACCTCTTTATGTTTAATCTATTTGGTGTTCCTTGTGAGTTCATTAATCTGGATGTTTATGTTCTTCTCCAGATTTAAAAAATTTCTGTCATCATTTTATTTTAAGTAAGCTTTCTCCCCCTTTCTCTATTCCTGTTTCTTCTGGAAAACCTCTTATACACATTTTTGTATACATCATGCTGTCATTCTTACCATAGGAACTTCTTCAGTCTATTTTATTCTTCTTTTTCCTCTTCTGACTGGGTAAATTCAAATGCCTTGTCTTTGAGCTCACTGATTACTCAGCTTAAGTCTGATGTTGAAGCTTCCTTTGGTATTTTTAAGTTCAGTCATCATGTTTTTCAGCTCCAGAATTTATAATTGTTTCATTTGTTTGTCTGTTTATTTTTATGGTTTCTCTTTGTTAAAACTTCTCATTTGGTTTTTGTATTTTTCTTCTTTTATATTTTTTATAATTTATTGTTTTTAATTTAATTTTATTTTGTCAATATACAATGTCGTTGATTATTGTGGCCCATTACCAAAACCTCCCTCCCTCCTCCCACTCCCCTCTCCCTCCCAACAATGTCCTTTCTGTTTGCTTGTCGTATCAACTTCAAGGAATTATGATTGTTTGTCTTCTTCCCCCGCCCCCTCCAGTATATTTCTGTATTTATTTATTTATTTTTAGCTCCCACAAATATGTGAGAACATGTGATATTTC